TCATTCATCCTTGTAGCTTCTTTCCCAAAGTACTTTTGAAAAAAATATACTTAGAATCACTTTTAAAACTTAGTCAAACACTAAATATTTTCAAAAGCGCATCATAAATTAATTAGTCAAACATGAATTGTTTCTTATCAAAAATACTTTTTTGAAAATAACAATTATCAAAATAAGCTGATTTTTGAAATTTGGCGAAACAAGCTGTCGCTTCTAAGCATGGGCCTAGAATTTTGGGATCAGGATTCTCTATGTTCTCCCTCCTTTCCCTTCTACGTCAATATATTGGATATACTCATAATCTTTTAAATTTTAGATTCAGATAGCTCGAACTTAAATAATAATAAATTTGAAAATATGTTCATGTAAAAACAACTAAGATAGGAGATAGGGAAGAAGGATATGACTTTGACAATGAGAGACTTTACCTCTTTGGCTATAGATTTTGTCAAAATGAATTTGGATTTTATTTGGCAAACATGTTTGGCCATAGATTTTGCATACATTTTAGCAAAATCCCAAATTCCAAATTGAGTTGGTTTTGGGCCACAATATCGCTATTACATTTTTCAAAAGTTGCCTCAAACTTTTGTATTTTATAAAAGAGCCCACCATTTATTATTTAGTCACAATGTTGCTTCGTCTTCTCGATCATCTGATAGTGTATCATGTAGTTCATTATAAAGATGTTAATTTTGTACCAAATCTATTTATTTTCAGGACTATGGTTTGCGACAATATAATGAATGTTATTGATAATGGTAATGTTGGGTATTTGTGATAGTTTTTAAAACTTGCGGGTATAAGTCATGTTTCATGTTTTTCCAAAATAAATTTGGAAAATATGTTTTGAAAACTGATATCCAAACACATTTTCATCTTCAAAACTTCACCAAAATCAGATTTTTCAAAACAAATTTGGGAATCTATAACTAAACGCTAGCTTAGTCCTATTTTATAAAAGTGAGGAATTGGATCGTGAGAGCAATTGAGGTATACGTGTTTAAATAATATGAACGAATTCAAATTAACGACCCATATTTTTTTTTTCCCTTTTTGTCATTAGCATAGTTTAACTAATGGTAGAAAATGGAGCAAGTTCCTGTTATCACAAATTGCTAGAAAATGCTTTCCCTAGGAAAGTAAGTGGTTTTCTCAAATTTTTTCTTATGTTTGGTAAGTGAGTATGAAAAAATATTTTCCAATATTTTGTTGGATAGAAAAATAATTTCCTAACTTTTAGTAGTAGTTTCCAAATCCTGGCATGCATCCTCAAATATGTGATTAAAATAACTTATGGAAAAGATTAAGAAATTTTACTTTTAAAATGAGAAAATGAATGATTGAATAACCACCATATTGTAGAATATATAACACAAATATATTCGACATAAAGAAGATGGCTAGTTAATACAATATATTCCTCCACTTGCCTTTTGGTCGTTTTCATGCGCTTTTGTTTTCTAAATATCTAAAACTAATAATGGAGACACTTGTTGCAGTTATTGAGCAAGTGAGTTTCATATCCTATGGTCACTAGCTTGATTATTATGATATGGTGACTAATCATTCAACTCGATTTATGATTATGGTTCTTAGTATAGCTCTCCTAAAGTTCATCGTTACATATGTTATTTGGGTTAGCCAAGCCATTCACCTGGCAGTGTTTGAATTTCCTACGAGAATGGCAAAGAGAGGGAGGAGACAATTCCGTTTGGCTAAAGCTTGTGCTACAACTGAATATATGCTTTTTGGTTTGCTTAAACATAAGGTTGATGGGGTCGTAACTTTGCTTGAACAAGTGAGTTGGTGTGATTGTTGGCATGATGTGCTCATTTCCTTGAAACTCTGGTCGTTTCTGCACAATAGATCTTGTCTGTTCAAGTTCTCAAAGGAGTTCCGCCAAATACTCTCTTTCACATCTATGGAAAAATGAGGCTTGCAAAGGCAATATGCAATCTGGAACATCTGTTACAATTTTGGGAGCAAGATATTAGAAGAGTACTTTCCTTGATACTTGAACTTATCTATATATCCAACTCAAAGGGCGACAGGGCGACATCATGGACACTCTGAGCATCTCTTCACGCACTAGTGTCGTTATGAACTATGGGCGGGGCTGGTGGTTTGTTTCTGGTACGCAAGTGCACCTCGAGCACTAGGATATCAATGTTGCTCTACTCGAACCTTGAGAACAACGTTCTTTTTTAGGATGGGAGTATTATTGTGAACCAGCATGACTTAGCAAAAGGGATTATGGGCCAGAAGTATAGAAGGATGCTGATCCAGTTAGGACTATTGAGCCTGAAGCTAAAGGCCCAATGATTAAACAGCCGAATAGAACGTTAGGACATTATATTTGGGATCCGGGGGAAATACAAGGCATACATATTGTTGAGTAAAATGTTTGCTTCTCCTCATCTTCCTTCTCGAGTGTATGTATCCTCTCATCCCTATTCTTAGTCAATCCTTATGTATTTTAGCTTAGTGTCTCTAATTCATGTAATTTATTTGAATCGAGTTGTAACTTCCTTTCACTGTTGAAGTAATGAAAGTGTTGAAAAACTAGTTGGCTACGATCAAAAGAAACAACTATGGATTATACTTAACATCCAAGTTCAATTTGGGAAATTAAAATAATTTGAAATTTCAGAAGTTAGAGTAAGACTAATCTATCATATAAGAATAAATCATCAGTTATCACAATTATAATCTTAAGCAAATGCTGAAATTCACAAACGGATGACAAAATCAAGAAATGGAGAAGCTAGTGGAAGTCATGGGTATGGGAGGAGTAGGGAAGATTTTTTTATTTTTCATTTTTTCCAATTTTAATTTGGTTGGAAATATAAATAATCATAATATTTCCACCCCACCCACACTAATAACTTCCAAATATCCTCATCCCTTTCTACCTCATCCTTATTCCAATGGCTGTTTAACTGACAATTTCTCAACCTATCTGTATGGGTCAAAATCCGATCTCACGATAATTAACGGAGTTAATCTCGTCTTGAGCTAATCCATAATTAATAAGTGGTATGGCCACTTATTCATAACAGGATTCGACTCTTGTCCGATTTAATCTACGAGGGCACGGCCCATTCATTCCCCCGTGGGGACGGAACCTCAGCGTGGCCACGGCCATTTATTGCCAGCTCACGAAGCTCACATCTATAAATACTAAGAGTGGAAGCCCTAGAAAGGGGGCTGCTTCTTGATGACTATTGAAAAAAGAGAGAGAGAAGAGAAAAATATACCCATCTTATGGGAAGAGAAAACACCATTGTAAGGCTCTGAACCTCTTCATGGAAAGGCAGACCAAACAAATATTATCAATAAAAGCTGTTAAGATTTCTTCTCCTAACTTTGAGTACTTATTTTCATGTTCTTCGCTTGGTCCAATGGATTATTACAATTTGCTATGATTTTCCCGTGATTTATTTATATTGTTTTATACTCATAAGATATATGATAACTTTTGAGCAAACACCATCTTTCTCAAAATGGGTGAAAAATCCCAAAAGAAAATTGAAAATTTTGCAAATCATCTCAGAAGAGTGTATGGATATGAGAATTTAACATACTTCTGTCAGAGTGGAGCATGACTTTCTCTATATCTCATCATTGCGCCTATAAAAACTGTGTGCTTATGTGTGTATTAGAAGCTGACATCTGTTTGTGTTACGATTTTTGAATCATAGTACATTTTAGTTCCTCCCATTTTAAGATTATCCCTATACTAGATGGCATAATGAATGCAGCAGTATTAAAGATAAGTTGCTCAAATTTTAAAAAGAAAATTTTATAAGATATATGTAAAACTATTGAAAGGAGATCGCAGGCAGAAAGCCTATTTAAGAGAAATTTGGGCGCAATTAAGCATATTTAAAAGAAATAATCTACGCCTACAGACAAAGTAATAGAAAAAAAAAATTCAACTCTTGCCACAATAATTAAACACTAAAATGATTATCCTTCAAAAAATAATTTGTAGAGGTCGTTACTCCTTAACAATTAAATAAATTGTCCCCTCGCCAAATTAGCACAAACATGACAAACCTTGTTCAAATAGAACATAATAAAAATTCTTTTGCAGATTTGAAAAACCCACGACACGAAATTTAACTAACTCTTTCTAGGAGAAAGGTTCAAGCAAAATGGAATAATCTCAAACTCAACAATTGAAATAGATAAAAAGAAATTTTGAAAGTCAAGAACTAGTTAAAGAATTTCAAGCTCAACAATGTTGTGAAGAATTTATGCACATGATATGCATAAATATTTCCACCCAATCCTAGGCGTTAAGAAAGCTTAGAGCTTTTTCAAGCTGCATGGAACATTATTTCTGCTGATTTAACAAAAGCTATACATTCAGTGTGTCTCACCACAGACATCTCACTAGTCGTTTACACGTACATCTTAATATGTGACAGTAAGTGGTAACAATAGATTAAGCAGATGCATTAATATTCATCCATAATCAGATTACAAATGCATTATCAAGTAGATCGTCCTCCTTCACCCTCACAAATCCAAGCACTAATTGCAGGGAAATCGTAGGATAAAACCTTACCATGTTCAAGGAAATTACTTGTAACAACAAATTTGACTCCACAAGTGTGCATAAATTCTGCAACAATCAGACTGGCGTCCGCACTCATGCTACGAATTCATCAAAGAGTATCTTGATATCCATCTCCATACATCCTACTCTACTGTTTCAATAAAAAAACAGAGAGCTGTGAGGATGTGCAAGTTTTTTTTGGGTATCTTAATGATGAAACTATGGACTCAGATTGAAAGCATACAATGTAAAAGGACACAAAGGCAGCGTTGGAAGCTATTTAATGGAAAATACCTTTTGTATAGGGAAAATTGAGTCAATTCTAAAAGACAAAATGAACCTAAAGGTGTAATTAAGAAGTAAAAACATGCCTGCGTGCAGAAACTCTTGTAAGTTGACAAGACACACAACCAAGTTGAGAAGTCCACCAACATGAAACAACTCCTCAAATAAGTAACATTTAGAAGAATATGAAGAATAGTGCAAAAATTCATTCACAAGTTAACAGTCATACATCTTTTGGAAATCTGTCAAAACTTAGTAGCTTAAGATTTTGTTTTTCCTCATCATACAACAAACTATCTTATCAGCTTGCTTCAACCATGTCATTGCCCAAATTTTCCTCCAAGCTTTACACATGAAAATCATCAGCTATTCAAGTCTTTACAGTACTTCAACCCTAGACAAGTGCCTTCTCAATATTCACGCGCACTCCTGAATATAGTTTACCTACCATATCATCTCAATGTGGAAATATGTCCACAGTATGGTTAATGAACAATATGGTTAGAAGATGAAATCCAAACCTCTGCTTCTAGGTTAGATTAAATAGTCTACTATCTCCGTAGGGATGACATCCCTTTAGATTGATGATGTGGTCGCTTGCCATGCATCCCACTGTCGCTCATACTCCCTTCAACGAGATCATCATGTACTTCAGAGAACTCATTTGTCCATGAGTTCAGTGGAACAAGATAACTGTCATCCTTCGAGTTCCTCCTCCGCTCTTCATACCGTTTTACATTTTCTGATATCTGATGGAAAGTCCTATTTAGTTTAGCAATTCCCCTTTCAACTGGTTCCGCAACATGAGATACCGTGAACCTCATATCATCAATTATCTAAAAGACGTGACATCAGAAAACACATCAGTTGCACAGCTAGAGAGAATCAAGAATAACTAAAACAACAAAAGAAGACATCAAGGAATAGAAATCTTACTATTTCACCACTTCCAACAACTACATCACGAACACTCTGGTGGAATTTTAAACGCTTCTCCGTCTCTTCAGGCCGAGAAATGCGTATACGGGTAGACCTTTCACAATCCTGAACTTCCTCTGGGTCTGGTGGGGTGTCCAGAGCTGCATAATCTGACAGCACAGCAACATTCCTGACACATCTTTCTCCGCGCTTGTAAGGCACTGCTGGGAAAACATAAAGATGCACCACAGCAGCAATACCCATCTGTTTTTACAAGAAAAGATTAGATAATGTACTAAATAATTGGCTAACAGGTCACCAAATAATTTGAAACATCACAAAAATCACTGCAGCAATACCCATCTGTTTTTACAAGAAAAGATTAGATAATGTGTTAAATAATTGGCTAACATCAGGCCACCAATAATTTGAAACATCGCAAAAAGATCTTATCCAGCTACTTCTACAACAACAACAACAACAAACCCAGTTAAATCCCACAGGGTCTGAGGAGGGTAGTGTGTACGCAAACCTTACCCCTACCTTATGAAGGTAGAGATGCTGTTTCCGAAAGACCCTCGGCTCAAGAACATTAAAAATGAAGCAACTTATCCAGCTACTTCTATTGTTCGCAAAAGGTTTCCGCTTTGAAATAACAGGCAAAAGCAAAATAAATTGGTACATACTTCCAGACCATCTAGATTATCACTCCCAAGATAATGGCTCTCATGAGAAAGAAAATCTGGTAAAACCTCCACCCAGTAAACCCCAGCTACAGTCCTTTTAGACAGGGAAACAAGGTAGTTAGGGTTTACTCGGTGATAGGAATGCAGTTAAACCCTACTACATCTCCATCAGATTGAGAAGATAAATAATGATCAGCGCACATGAAGAGTATGTGCCTGCCATAAGTGACTACACAGTCTTCTCTACTCTGTTCTAAGAAGATATTTCGTGGCAGCTCATAGCAGAATTTGTGGCTTTAAGGGGTTAAACATTTCAAGTATCATTCCTAGGCTTAATACTTTTCGAGCACTTCAATACTGCAATGGAGTTTGAAAAGCTAATGGACTCTTTTACTGATATCACATGCCAGAAACCCAAGCTGCAGTATTCCAATGTGGAAAACATAATCATACACAGATCAGGGTTATACAATTCCATTTTGAGCTTAGAAGCATGATATATTCAGCATGTTTTTGAAGGTAGCGACACCGGAAAGGCACTATGCAGAAGTCACCTTTGATTTATCCCATATCATGGCATCACCAGGTCTTTACTCACATCAATCTCAACCTTCACTTCATCTGTCTGTTAATTTGGACAACCAACACTTCAGCCAGCAGATCAAGGGATGACAACTGATAGAGCAAAGGCATAAATGCACTAATCATTACTATAGGTAGGTAATTTTCAACTTTCTATACTCCAGTGTTATAATCTTATACTTCACAAGATTAAAAATTGTTACTAGCCCTTCAAAAGGCATTCCCGGTTCCCAGATCTCTAAAATGCAGGTGTTAAGCTCAAAAGGTGCGTCACCTCAATCAGTCCTGTGCAAGCTAACTTTTGGGCAAGGGTTCTATTGATGCATCAACACTATTTAAAGACTGACATGTCTTTATATAATTATACTTGTCAACTCCTAGGTTTACAAATGTCATGCATTGTCTTGGTGTATGAAGCCTACTGTTGTAGTAGGTGCATATCCCAAGAATTTTACGTATTTCGCCCACAAAATACTGTAAAAATATAATTTTCAATGTACATGTGACTTGATCCTTATTCTACCAAGTTACACTTTATATTTAGCTTGTTTATATTTAGTTTACGTGCATGTTTCCTTTTTTGTTAATTTATATTTTTTTTAATTTGCAATTGATTCATAAAATATACAAGGGTAGCATGAATACAAGGGTAGCATGAACTATTGCTACATAGATCCATTGAGGATTATGCGTTACTCATATCAGATATTCAACCATTGTTGTTGACTGGCGTTAGATGGTCTACTTGTTTGGAAGCCTCAAAGTGTGTAGGAATAACCCTCCTTCTTTCTTGGTATCCCGTTTTTCCAAAGGTTTAATTACTCTGTCCATTCTAGGTATAATCACTGAAAATATCATAGGAGGGCTACACATGTATGTAAATTTCATACACACTTTTAAAACTCCCAAACAAATAGACTATGTTATGCCAGTCAACAATGCTTGAATATTTAACGCATAATCCTCAATGAATCTATGTAGTTGTTGTTCATGCTTCCTTTGTGTATTTTATAAATTAATCGCAAATTAAAATAAAATAAAAATACAAATAAAGAAAAAAAGAAAAGACTGACCTATTAAACTAAATATAAATGAACAATATAAAATTTAACTTGATATTATAAGGATTAAATCACATATATGCCGAAAGATTAAATTTTGAAAATCATATTTTTACACTATTTTGTGGGCAACCCAAAGTCCTTGGGCATGCACCTACTACAACAGTGGGCATAATAAACCAAATAAGGAAGTGCATGGCACTTATAAACCAAATTTGGCAGTTGGAAAATATAATTTATGTAAAGATATGTCAAGTCCTTAAGTAGTGTTGATGCATATGATCAATAGGATCCTAACCTAAAAATTTAGTTTGCTTAGGACTGACTGAGGCGACACTCTTTTTGAGCTTAACGCCTGTGTTTTAGAACAAAGACACTACAGTTTGAGCATATAAAGACATGTCAAGTCTCGCTCCCTGTACACTGACCTTCGTTGCAACCCCATGCCCCTATATAACCCCCAACTTCATTTGCCACCCTCCTTTTTCAAAACCTTGGCATATAAGAAGTTATATCTAATAAGCTCATCTATCGACTCGACTGGAAATACAGATACCATATATAAACTCAGATCTGATATTCCATTACATCGAAGTTGCGGTACCCCCATGAACCTCTAACTGCAAGGTTCAAGAGTAGTTTTGGTGCAAGATCAGATCATTATTAACTCAAAATCAGAAAACCAACTCTGCATTTTGATACCAAGTGTCTTTCGGAGAAAATTCAAAGCATATAGCACATAGGAGGAGGAGAAATGTTGGCAAAGGGACTCTGCGGAATGGACATCTCGATAGGGTAAGGAAACTCAAAGTTCAATTAGGATAGATGGTAACTTGTACCATGAATAGTTTAAGGTTTTTTCGGAAGCATAATAAGTAACTTTTGGTCCAATGAATTGTTTTTACTTTTATGCATATTTTGGGAGTGCATAACCATTGCCCTTAACGAATGAACTCATATATAGGCACGAAATACTTTTCAAAGCTGTCCCCCAGTCACTACAAATAGGATAAGGACAGTAGACCATGTCCGACGCACCAAGCACATTATGTATGACTTCAAATGATAAGCATACACCCGCAACAATTAAGGAAAAAAATAATAATAAATTGGAAGACATTTAGCCTATCCAAGCAAAAACTTAAATTTTTCACCCAAACCACCCTCTACCTTATTGGAAATTGTCCGCTGCACAGGTGGTTATCTTTTCTCATTTTGCTCCCCTTCCATACAAAATTTGTTCTTATTATGTCCACTGTTGTAACTATCTTGGAAAGCATTGGAAGTAATGTCATCATGTATGTAGGAAGGAAATCAAAAATTGCATTTACCAGGACAACCCAGACAGGGTTGTCCTGAAGAGACAAATACTACAATACTCTCCCTTCCAGATAGAAAGTCTATTCTCAATCATTTATAACCTGCTTCTAGTGGCATTCCAGGGTAGGTTGTGATGAAAAAATCGACTTGACATGCCAAATTGTCTACCAATCTTGTAGTCCTATACCTCTTAAACAGAGAACATGATGAAAATTGATATGCAAACTAATACGGTTTAGAATATTAGTGAAATGAGCCTTTGATATCTCAATCGGGATTCTTCAGCACCACCTATTATTAATGTATCAACTAGAATACCACTACATTTGCAACCCAACACAAAACCTCTTATCCTAGTTTTAGTTTCAGCCTTATACATCATCTTAAGAAGGCCCTCCCAATACTAGCAAAAAGAGAAACAAGGAAACATCTTCCTGCCTTAAAGCCCCTCTGTGCAAAGAAATCCAGCGACCATCAACAATTATAGAGAACACCACCCTGGAGACAAGAACTATATCCATCTAACCATTTGTGTCATAAAGTCCCATTTTCTTCAACATAATCATTAAAAATAACCAACATGATCATAGACTTCCTCAATATCTAATTTTTATATCAAACGAGGTAGAAATTGCATTGCTCTACCTTTTGTCAACCTTTTACGAATTGCAAGTAACTAAAAAGCATTCCCATATAATTAAAGCACTCTAAACAAATTGGCCTATGGTCCTTTAATGTAGGAACTCTTCTCTCAAAAGATCACAATGCCCTCATTTTTCCATTAGCTCCTAAAGCATCACTACCTATCAGACCAGAGCTGTCTCAAATATCTCACATCCAACTCCTCGATTTTTGTCGATAGGGAACAATATACATCTGTATTCCGATTAAGTATGAGTGACTAATAAACTTATTTTCACCCTGCTATTCAATCCCTTGCATTCCAACTTCTTATCCTTATCTTCATCTTTCACTACATTGGCATTGACCATCATTGCTTCTTTTTGCCCTATTAATATAGGACACATTTAACTCTAGCTTTTCAGCTCCCAGACACTTTCGCCTAAAAGTTGAAGGAATTCTGCAACACTTCATTTTTCCTCCCCAAACTCCTCGTTCGATCTTCTCAAATAGGGCAAGTCAACAAGCGCCTCATAGAAGCTCACAAACTGGGCTCCCCAATGTCTACCCAATCCACGGACGATATATTTTTTTAAAGGAGTTAAGATTTTATTAGAAAAACAGTATACACTGTGATAGTACAAAGATAATGTTGGTTATAAAACACTAGAAACCTAAGCTATCAAGCATGTCCAGCATGTTTTGAAGAAAAGGACATTCTTCCTTTTCAATAATCAATATGTAAGCACTATTCAAGCGAAAAAATTGTCTAGGGGATTGGACATCAGGTTTCATCTCGAGGAACAAAAAGTAGGTACACCATATACGCAATTTAAGGTATTACCCTGTTCCACTACTGAGCACTTTTACCTCCTTTACTCGAAGTTGTTGCTGGTCAATGACCACTATTTAGCTGCCTAAGTTTGGCTAGTCTTCTCAAGAGGAAATAGGACTTCAAAATTTCTTATTAGTAGTCTAGACTTTAAGGAGCTCT